GAGGAGGAGGGGGAGGAGGACGAGGAGGAGGAGGAGGAGGAGGAGGAACAGGAGGAGGAGGAGGAGGAGGAGGAGGAGGAGGAGAGGGGGATGGGTGAGGAATGAGGCAGGGACAGGAGGAGGAGGCGGAGGAGGAGGAGGAGGAGAAGGAGAAGGCGGAGTTGGATGAGGAGCTGCCTTGCCAGGTGGGAGTGGAGCGGCGACCCCGAGCCGAGCGACCACGCTCCCCTCGCCGCCAGCCTTGCAATCCGCGGAGGGCTGGCGTGCGACCTGGAGATCGTCGTGGCCGCCTCCGAGGAGGAGGGGGCTGGGAGGGTCGTGGGAAAAAACATACAAACACACACACTGTGGGAACAACACACACACACTGTGGGGAAACAAAACCACACAGTGGGAAACAACCCACAACCACACACAAACACAAACATACACAAACACATACACACAAACACACACACACACCCTGTGGGAAAACAAACACACACAGCGGGAGCAAACCACACACAAACAAACACAAACACACAAAACACACAACACACACACACGAACACAAAAAAACACACAGGCCGGGAGGGTCGTGCTTGTCCCCTGACAGCCTCTCGTTGTGGAGAAACAGCGTTTTTTTTATGGCTTCTGTGACGCTTTGGCTCCCTGGGACCTCAGCGGGCTCTGGGACGGTCAAACCTGCCCAGGATGGGCACCCCAGTCCGAAGCTGCGAAAACATCACCACGCCGGATGTCTGGATCGTGGTCATCATCCTGCTCCTCCTTCTTCTCCCCTCCCTCATTCTCCTCCTCCTCCTCCCCCTCCTCCTCTCCCTCCTCTTCATCACCATCATCTGCATCAGCATATCAACATCATCATCATCATCAACAGCATCACTATACTCGCCACCATCATAATCATCATCAGCCTCATCTGCTTCATTCTCATCATCAGCATCATCATCACCATCATCATCAGCATCATCATCCGTAGCCGAATGTGGCTCAAGTTCGAAACGTGCCCCTCGTGCTTCGAACTTACTCGCTTCCGAGGGAAGGCTCGAGCGTTTCATTCTTGTGCGATAAAGCACGTTCCGTTTTGGCTTCTTCCGCCGCCCCAACTGTCCTTCTGGCATGGCCACCCTAGACTTGGAGGCCCTCAAGATGCTGATGGATGACTGTCTTCAGCCGGCCACCACGCGGCTCGACGCCCTCACGGGCCAGATCCAGAGCATGGGCGAGAGGCTGAGCGAGAGGATGGACAGTTTTGGCAAGGACGTCACCGACGTGAAGACCGACTTCGATCGCCAGGCCGCAAAGCTCGACGCTCTCGAGATTGCGGTGGCCATGGACGACGAGGAGATGAATGACCCGCACTCAAGCTGAAGCCAGGCGAGAATGGAGCGAACGTTCGAACTGTGCTACAGAAGACGTCTATTGCAACCCTCGAGGCTGAGCCAACCGCCGGCCTGATCAAAGTAGAGAATGCCATTTCATCGACTGCTGCTGGTTCGTCGGCTAGCCCGGTTTGCAGCGACCCCTGGTCAAATTGGCGGAGGCGTCGCCCAGCCACAGCCGCAGGACCGCCAGACTCCACAACCCAATCGCGGCTTTCAAAGGCCGCTGATGTCGTCGCAGATGGAGATCAATTTCCAGCAGCTCAAGGACAAGATGCCCCAGGATATCGGCTCCAAAATGACGTTCCAAGGAAGGAACGTCAAGTGTTCGTACGATTTCAAGCCCTCCAGCAGAGAGGAGGCTGACCAAGTCTGGGCCCAGTTGAGAACCGGTCGCGACATTCCTTCTTCCATCCGACAGACGAGGTACGTCCTCGGCCAGGCATACCCTCTGGCCAAGGCCGATATCGCCGAAAAGAACGCATGGCGTTCGTCGACGAAGGTGAACACTAATCCGTTCCAGGGACAGCTTTAACTGATCGAGAATGACGACGCATAGGAGCTCCTGTTGAGTCAAGGGTGCCGGGCGCGGCCAACCTCACGCATGTCGGTATCCCCTAGGCTCACGCCGAGACCATCAGAGAGAGAGCCCAGCTCAAGCTCAACAGTTTGGAGCAGGACATTCCCAGGCACGTCTCTGCCAGCATTTTTGCCGCCGCCTCCGCCAATCGTTTTGCCCGAGGCAGTGCAAGCCCTGTCAGGAAACCCGCGGTAATTCGGAAGATCTTGAGGCCCTTCGACGGTTGTATCCTTCCGTCTCCCACTTTGGACCGTTCCACGCTGACGCGCACACTGGAGGGATGACAATCTCAATTAAGAAGACGTTGTTGGCCAACTTCGACGAGGTTGGCGCTCCTCCGGTCGCGCCCGCAGGCAGGCGCTTTCGAAACATACCCCCAGGGCCCTCTCGAGACACGGTGATCATGAATACACACATCGAACATCGCGTGCAGCAACAGGCTAACTACCATCTTATGGCTAGAGCCGCTCGTGCCCTTCCTCCTCCTGGGGCGAGTCAATCCTGCTATGTGGTGATGTGCGCTTCCTGGAGGAAAATGGTTTTCAGCATCATGTCGATGGAACTCCCCCCAGCTCCGAGTCCAGGGCCCTGGCTCAATATTTCGGCAAGGGGCCCCCGCCGCTTTTGGAGGTTGCCCAGTATGATGATATTCACAGTTGTGTAGTAGGAGACGCTGTGGCATCCATGGCCAGGCTCGACCGCGCGTACTTCAACCTTCCAACTGCTGGGTTGCTGGACCGTCGCCCAAAAAGTGGAACCCTGGGGAACGCATTCGACAGGGCTGAGCCTTCCGACAATTTCCCGATCTATGGAGCGCTGGCTGCTGACCCTGGACCCCGAGGCCCCCCCCCTTCCAATCCGTCCTGGGCCATTTGGCATCGTGAGTGTGAGGGGTGCGTTTGCTGTTTCCTGATGCGGTTCACCAGGCGGGAGATGCCCATCAAAAGCTCGGGTACTCAAGGACGTTTTCTTCGCAGCCCGCGACAAGAACTCGGACCGCATGTTTCGACGAGGACCCAGCAACTCCAAGCAGAAGGCAGCTGTATGTTTGAAGGTGACGAGCGCTGCTCCTGCGCAGCATCGCATCGCTGTTGATAGAAGTCTTCCCGCCTTTATCGAGCTCCAGGCGTTCGTTGGCCCCGAGACGCGCGTTTCCCCTGACTGTTGTGGTTTCCATAAACTCCTGGGGATGATCCGTAGTGATTGGTTCAATGAGGAGATTAGTAAGCTCCCAGGGGCCGTGGAAAAAGGCCGCGATCCCGAGCGCGTACTTCACTTGCATCAGCCTCTCCGAAGCTGGCCCCCCCGCTGGCGGCGTTTGTCTCGCGTTGGAATTGCCCCCCCCCCCCCCCCCACCCCCCCCCCCCCCCCCTCTGGGCAAGTCCGCGGCGGCCTAGTGGCATGTGCGCGGGCGCTAGCCAAGCATTGACGAGGCGTGCGTGCCTTCGCTGATAGCGCCGGCCCTGCCTACGACTCCATCATAGCAGAGATGACCCCCGAGGTTCAGGAAGTTCCTCCTGGCGCCCCCTGGGCGACCGACTTCGATTCGCTGCGTGGCATTACGGATTTCAAAAAAAAAGATTCGCCCGGCCCGCGGCCCCGACGGGGCCCCTGCAGCGCGCGCGCAAGAAGAGCTGAGTCACAGGCACAGAGATTCTGCGCGATGCGTGCGCCGACCTGATGAACGTCGGCGTTCTGCTTCACGGTTTTATAATCGCGCGCAACAAGTCTTTCTGCCTGAAGATGCCCCTTATGGAGCCCCAGGGGAAATCGCCCCTGGGGTTCCAGGGCGGTCGGCAAATCCCGACCCATCACCCTCTCCAACACCGACAACAATATTCTGGCCAGTTCCCTCGGGCCCCCCGCCCAGATCAAAGGGCAGCGCGCGGTCTCCGAGGCGCAAAGGAGGTTTCTTCAAGGGCGGAACATCCTGGACATTATACCGATGGAGGCCACGCTGATCCAATTCGCTTGCTTCTTAGGCTGTCCGCAGGCAGGCCTGCTGCTGATGGACATCCGCGCCGCCTCCCCCCTCCCCGGCTCACTCCTGGATCTTCGAGGTGCTAGAGGCCAGCCGAGTCCCTGGTCATGTTCTGCACGCGGCTCGGCAGCTGCGCTGCACTCGTTGATTCAGATTGACATTCTCTTGGGTGGCAAACGTTAGCCTGGATGCTGAATTTCCACCGGGATAAAAGAGGGGCGCCCCTTTTCGGGGGTTATGTTTGCCATCGCCTTCGTCCCAGTGAACCGTCGGACGCAGGAGATGCTGAACCCCTTGAGAGCACCCCCCCTATGCTTTCGCCGATGATGCGGGAGTGGCGTGTGCCAGCGTAGTCACTGATGCGCCTCTGCTCCTGGACGTCGCTCGGCGCGTGGGCCACCTCGCAAGTCTTTGGCTGGGCAGAGGCAAGACCGCGCCCGTCTTCGCCCGCGAGTGCGCCGAGGCGGACATCCGCATCATGTTACTGAATCTTCCAGCTGATATCACAGGGGTCGCTATTTCCAGATGCGCGCTCTATCTTGGCGCGTGGGTCGGACCTGGAGGGCCCTGTCGGCCTTGGATTTCCATTAGCCAGAAGTAACACGAACGTATGAGGCATATCAAAAGTTTCGCTACAGCTCGCTCGCGTTCACTGTCCTCAGCTATATCACGAGCGCGCGCCCCATGGCCCATCAAAGTAAGCGCCTTGAGGATTCGGGGCTCCAGAGGCTCACGCGTGCCCCCGGGTATGCGGCCAACTCTGACGCGATCCGGTATGTTGATAGATTTGACGTTCCAGTACGTGTGCGGAACCGGCAGTATACGAGCAGGGCTAGTATGCATCGGGCCGCCATCAAGAGCTGTGCTTCTGGTGATGTTCGAATCCAGCATGACCAACGGGTGAACATTGACATCGAGCGTTTGGTCATCCCTAGGGAACGGGAATGGATGGAGTCCTCTGTGTGTTTCTCGCTGTTGCGTAACTACAGGAACCTCACCAGATTCTGCTCAGACCACGGTATTCAATTGAAAGTAACCCAAAGTTTCTATGCGAGGGTAATCCCCCCTCTATGTGCCGCTTGCTCATGCCCACAGCACGCCATTTGCTGCCATATCATTTTCATGAGCCTCAATGGCATCGAGCCAGCCGCCACGCCGTATAGAGTATCAGGACTGCATGCAACATCTGCCCATGTCTCGGCGTCAGCATCCTGAGGACTGTGGGCAACGCATGGCCGACCACTGTTCTGTACCGTCAAGGCACCATCAGTTGCAGAGTCGGATGTGCAGCGATCGGCGGTGACCATATTTCTCGTTACTTTGATTGTCCTCTTGCGGTTGTTCTTCTCTGCGAAGTCATCGCCTCCTTCCTTGCATGTTACAGTCATCTCAGAGGATACGAAAGGCTCTTACGTCAGTTCCCTTACACTTTTCCTCCCCCTCTGTCTTGCATGGCTGCCTTCTTTTGCATGACCTTTTGTTTTGTCCGTTCAACGCCTTCAGGAGCGAGGAGTCTTCGGTGCCAGGAAAAAGCAGGGCGCGCGCTGTGGCCAAAAGGGCCCCTGCGTTTTGCGAAGCTCTCAGCGGGCGATCTGACTTGCGAGGGGGGTACGGTCACTCATCATCCTCATCGTCATCATCGTCAACATCATCATCACCATCAGCATTAGCATCATCATCATCATCATCATCATCATCATCATCATCATCATCATCATCATCATCATCATCATCATCATCATCATCACCATGAGCACCACCATCATCATCATCAGCATGTGTCTCCTTCTCCTCGCCCTTTTCCTCCCTCGTCTTTCTCCTCGCCCCCCTCCTCGCTTCTCCTCCTCCTCGTTTCTCCTCCTTCTCCTCCACCTCTTTCTCCTCCTCTTCCTTTTTCTCCTCCTCCTCGTCCTCCTCCTCCTCCCTTCAACTCAAGTTCCTTCTCGGCCACCCCCCCCACCTTCCATCGCTTGCCCCCAAAGAACAAACTACTAGGAAAACACTACTAGGAGGAAAAGGTTGCGGGGGGAGGGGGGGCGGAGGGGGGGGCGTGGCCCGGAGCTCGCTGTCTGCCGCCCTTCTTGAGGGGGAAGCGGGCCGACCGCCCCGAGGGCCGAGAGGGCGTCGTCACCTGGAGGAGAAAGACATGCCGGTGCGGTAGACACATCAGATAAGGCCCTCCTTCTTCTTCTTCTTCTTCTTCTTCTCCAGGCTGCGGCCTGCTTCCCAGAGCCACGTCCAGACCCCCTCGCGCCGTGAAAAATCACGACCCAATTGTTTATCGTATTTGCGGCCTCTGGGGGCCCCTGCCAGGCCTGTCACAAGACGATTCAGGATGAAGAACCGGTCCCGGGGAATGGGTCCAGAACTCTGGGAGTCGACGTCATGAAAAAATCATGACGTCGGGGGTCCGGGGTATACGATGCTC